AACGCTGGGCCACGTATGGACCGGTCCCGTCACAACCCTTCAAGGCTGAAAGCGACTGTTCCTGTTGCTTGATGCACCTCTCCCTCATGGGGGAAGCCTTCGCAGAGGTCTGAGTGTCTCTTAAGTCTCCTAAAGGTGAACTGAGTCGCTGGGGCTGCAGGTGGTGGTGGGGGGGAGCAGGGTACCGGCGGCTGGTTGCCACCATTAAGGCGGGCCGGACGCACCAGCTCCTCCATCACCTCTACCCTCTACCCTACTGTGATAAAAAGCTGCAACGGCAACCGGTGGCGAGTGCAACTAGTTCTAGTGCGACTTCCTCTTGTTGCAAAGTCTCTGAGCAAAATACATTTCCTTAATCACAATAATCTGAAGAGGAACAGAGGGCTTAGTATATAAAAGTATAATATGAAAATGTAAAGAATAAATGTAAAATGTAGGTGATGTAGCATATGAAAATTTTAGTATAACTTGATAAGTACTTTAATTTGAGTATGACTTGAGTATAGCAATAAATTAATAAGGGTATGATAAAAATGTAAAATATAAAAATGAAAGTAAAACTTAACTTGAATATATCGGGAAAAAAAAGGAAGAAGCACAGACTTAATTAAACCAAATGAACTCCAATAAGTAACATTAGGGTTTGGTTGGGATGGTACTTCAGTCTTTTCTTTCGACGCCTACAGATGTTGTTCTTGCTGGACTTGGGTCGGTATTGGACAGAAATATTCAGCCAGAGATCAAAATGAAAAGCTCAAATATAGATGTCAGTCCGTCATATGATTATAAACCGTGATGGAGCAGTAACGAGGAATAGAAGCGACCGTTTGGCTGTAAATCAGGTTTTATATAAACCGGGACACAAGCATCAGATGACAGAGCTGTGATAATAGGACATGGAGGTAAATCAGATGTACTTTTCACACAAACACACGCACATAAACACTCCTAAATTCAGCCGTCTAAATCCACAGCAACAGAGCGCTCAGAGCAAAGCCTTGCTTCACACCGAAGCTATTTCACACCGCAGATTAAAAAAAAACAAACATCTCTCTCTCTCTCTCCCATTCATATGAATTGTTTTTTCTTCTATCCACCTTTACTGTGTCCTCCGTTCATTGCCTGTCTTATCTGCAGTAGACACTCGCACACCGTGGGGAGTCTTCTTGTGTTTACTTCCCTTTATACTCTCATCCCATCGGAGCCCAGCCAAAGGCCCATAATGGCCTCAAGGCATGGGACGGCCAACACACAAACAACCACAGTAATAAACACCTCCCCCCCAAAAAAAAGTGTCTCAGCTGTTTGAGCATAACTATTAAAAGCTTTTTTTTTGTAATTAATACTTCTCTTCCATCATTCAAGACTTTAAAAATTTGAAAATTGCATGATCTTTCTCTTCCCACTTTGTTAAATGACATTAAAGTGGCTTTGGCGTGGTTTTCTAACTTTAGTGACGGGTGAATGAACGGCTGATTGCCGGACTGAACGAACAAATGAATGAATGGATGAGTCTTTTTGTTGATTTAAAAAAGGATAAATTAATTAATATATGTAGGAATTACTGCAAAAAGGAGTGAATGAATGGATGAACAGAGCGACGCACTGATGCTGAAGGTAAAAGACAAAACAACACTGGTTTGACCTCTGGTGACAATGAAGAGTAAAGGTTAAACCAACAACAGCTGACGTGGCGACAATTAAGTTGTCGCAAGATTTTAAAGTCGTTGGCCTCACTGTGTTTTTGTTGGTGATGATGATTGACGACTCTCTTCAACACAACGGAACAAATGTAAAAAGGATTTCTGTCCGAACGTTTTCAATCCCTTCCAGACGGTCAAGAGCTGACCGAACAACAGGGCGGCAACGTCACGTCTTTATCCACAGAGGCGTTTCAAACACCTGACCTCAAGATCGATGAGAGGACATTACGCTCATCTTACGCATCTCTACTTACTCCATCTTGTTGTGTTTGCTGTTTTCTTTGTTCCGCATCAGAACGGAAAAGGTTTGACGGTACTCAATTACAAATTCCAGGTTTTGTAATCTAAGACCAGCATGACTGAACTGTCAACTCTTTTTAACCTTTTCCGTTAAGACCACTTGAAGACGTCGCTATGTATGATCTGTTCTGGTTTAATTTCATCCGGCTACATCCATCTCCTTCATCTGCTTTTGGATCACACACACACACACACACACACACACACACAACTATACCCAAGTATATTTTGTTCTGGTGTAACATTGTTTTAAAAGGCACCAGCTATCACCGGCTAAAGCATGAACACATCCCTCTCTCTGGAAACTTGACTCCGTCACACAAACTGAGCAACATATGTGTATGGTGGGCCTGCACAGTATGTATGATATGCATAGCTGAAGAAAACTTTTAAAGCCTTGGATTTAGACAGATGAGACGCCCACATATACATCCATAACACTGTCACATACAGTTGTCCTCTTGTTTTAGCTTGAGGGTCAGCAGGGCTAGCCAGGGTTAATACCAGAGGGCTATTTCACACTTGCTAATTGCTCCATATGCACACATGGATACAAGAATGTAGTCACTTTAGGGTCACTGCGGATAGAAGACAACACGACCAACATCTATGGATTTTACACGGCTTAGACAGCCTGCTCTAACTTTCAACATTTGCACCGTAAAAGTTTAGTTGCTAAAAGCAAAGCAAAGCTCTGCTTCCGCCCTGCCTTGGCTATTTCCACGTTTCTGTTGTTTTCTTGTAGTGAACTGACATTCAACTGAATATGTGTCAAGATAAAGTGAGAAAAAAAACAGGTTAACAGGGGCAGGACAGGGATCGTAATGTTAACTAAGCATGTAAGCCTATACATGTAGTTAGTGGACATTAGCTAACCAGCACCTCCTGTAATACTCGAGTGTAAACACATGAATAGATTGCATGCATTGTTTTATTCTCTCCTGCACACAGAAAAAACAGATTTTTGTCCTCACCGGCGTGCAGGGTCGATGGCATTGCTGTTGGTTGAGAAGTGGTTGTTGGTTTTACCCGCTGCCGAGTTACAGGTTCTGCTCTTGGTCTTTGACACCTTCGGGCGACCTGGGTCTGCTGAGCTTTGTTGCCGAGAACTTTGGGCCTTCTTTTCCTCCAGCATGGCCAAAAACACACACACACACACACACAGACATATACAGTTCACGTACAAGTAATGTCTTTAATCACACACAGGCACGCATACGCGACTGCTTTTCTCTACACTTCCAAACTCAAAGATGAATCCCAAAATTAAGGAGTAGAAAGTGAAAAAGAGGTCTTTTCTCTTGCTGGTTACTGGGAATTATTTCCACGTTAAAGAATTTTCTTTTATCCAAAAGTAAATCCAGAAGAAAGAATTCCCGCTATTCCCGAAAAGATCCACTCTCACAAGGTGTTCACACCAGATAATTTCCAACCCATTTTTAATACTGGGTCAAAAGTAAGAAAGCAAACACAAAACTAAATCGTTAAATCTTCCCAGCGCCCCCAAAACGTGAGCTCCTACGGCATTCCCGTATTCTGGAATCTGTGGCGTTCCCGAACTCAAGCATTTCAGAGATTTCTGAGGGCTTAAGCCATTAGTGGGTCAGCGGGATTTGAGCCACAAGAGACTGAAAGGCAAATCAGGAGGAACGCTGCCTTGCTCTTCACCCGTCCCTCTGAGCCAGCAGCTGGAGAGAGAGAGAGAGAGAGAGAGAGAGAGAGAGAGAGAGCGAGAGAGGGAGGGGAGACTTTTGGGCATGAGAGAGAGAGAGGGGGAATAAAATAACGTCTAGAGGCGGGTTTCTAGCCACCTGTTTTTATGAGTAATTTCATTTTGTGCATTAAAACATTAGAAAAAAAACTAAAAAGTTTTTCATGCTCGGCTCAGGTGGAAAAGTTGGTGCATCGATAATGACACCAATATTGAGTAAACAATGCAAATTAATACATGAAGCAAACATCAATATCATGTTTCCATCATTGTGTTTTCACGATTTCAAGTTTGACCGGCGCTCTTTTAACTGCATCACCTCGTTGCACCGTCTTCGCCGGCGGTTTTTCACGGCGCCCGACTGGAAAAATTAGCATCAGCACCTGTTTATCTTGACGAACCAAGTTCTAACATTCACACAACAGCAGTTAATTTGTTCGTTAAATACACGGATTCTGTTGGACTTTCCCACCTGAGGCCTCGGCTATTGATTAAGCAGTCACATATGTAGTTAGGTACACACATATTGTTGATTAGGTGGTTACATACACCCTCTATTGATCAATGAAAAATGTACCACACTTGACACCAAGGAGAAAATGATGAGTGTGAATCAGAGTAGTGGCTAATTTCTGATGATGTCTTGTCCAGCTATGTCCTCTCAGTACTGACTGACTGCTGACCTCTGGTGGTTCTCAGTGGTAACTGCATGAAAAGATAAGTGGTTAACGGCTATTCAGCAATGAACATTAATGTCATATTATTGTTATAAAGGTGGAGAAAACAAGGCTTATTTATGGAGCATTATCAATATAAATAGTCAAAGCTTAAACATTTAAAGTTATAAAGCATTAAATAATAAAGAATAAATATTGAATATTATGACTTTATTGAAACAGCTAAACAAATTAAACAAATTCTCTTTTACCTAACAGTATTAACTATATTAGCTATTGCTTTAATTTAGTTTGTTTTAGCCTGCTTACAGACAATACTGTACATTATTATTTGATATTATTGTCATTGGTATTTAAGTTTTACAGCTTTCAAATATTTCACATGGATTTAACTTTACTATTAAAACCAAATGAGACCAGTTTCATGCATGAGGGTTTTCCTGTCAGGGGCCAATATAACTTATTGAGAAGGTAAGAACATTTACTTAATACAGGTGGTCTTATAAAATGTTCCTATGCAGATATTGTATGATAAACACTAAATGTTCAGGAATGTTTTCATACATAGAACAAATGATGTAAAATAAGAGACATATTCGAGTCAGAGGACCTTGTTAAAAGTATTATTTGTTCCACAATATACAAAAAAAAAACCAATCCATCCACCGCAATAACATTGACAAAAACATACAGCAGTAGTACATCAGTACAGTGTAGTGCAACATGTTTCACAGTCAGTGAGTACTTATATTAATCAGCCACAAGGGAGAAGCAACGGCCCTGATAATTCTGTACAGCCCCAAAATAATCAACATCCACTGGATATATTTACACTTTAACAGAGAAACAGACGCCAACAGGTTCGACTAGTGTGTCAGCTGAATTTAGTTTGATTCAGACAAGATGCACCAGAGTTAAAATGAGAGAGGACAAATAAATAAATCATTCCCTGTGTGTGCTTCAAGTGGTTTACATCAGTGACTCAAACAAAGACTGCACTTTTGGGTTTTCAGCAGAATATAGAGTTTACTTCTGATGATTTTCACTAATTCTGACAGATTAATCTGTCGACCCAGAACCGTGCTCCTAGACTGAAAACAAAGAAGAGATGATGCCGCTTATTCTCAGTTAATGTCTGTCTATTCATCTTTAAGTTTAACTGTGTACATTGACAATTCCCTCCCTTTATATTATGTACGCAAGTTACTTTTAACATCAAGTAACATCTGGTCAAATTAGCACATTTGATCACACCTTCGTGTGACAGTCAAACACATTTAAAGCAAAGTTTCATCTAAATTATTTGTCAGTAAACTTAAAAATGTTCTTTTTCATGAACAAAACATGCCCCAAAACAAAAAGCATACCTGGTGCTTTATACATGTCGTATTTAAAAAGATATGTGCACTTCGACTTTATGTGGTTATTGAGATATTTTTTAGTAGTTGGTGGTTGGTGAGAAGTTCATAGAGTGAACTTCAGAAAGTAAAAAACTGTTGTCATGGCCCTTTAAATCTGCCGTCTGCTCCCTTTTTTTTTCCCCCCTGTGTTAAATGTGACGGCAGCTGATCCTGGTGAAATGGTTCAGTCCAGATTTCAAACACTGAATCACTGAAGAGTTTTATTCCACAAAAATATGAACTCACGTGACCTGAAACTGATCGAATGTTTGTCGGCCCAAATCTGAGTTGAGCTGCTGCAGTGTCGGTTAAAGGAGTGATGTGATATTTTGAGAAATCAGCAAATGTTTTTTCACCTGCAGACAGGAAATGGCCACACACATAAGCCTCCAAAATAAAAGCACAACTTGCTATTTTGACACTTTTTTCTTTTCTTTTCTTTTTTTTTTTTACACACAAAACATAAAGATATGTGTTCGTTTACTTGATTTCCTGGATTTGATCAGTTTTAGAGCAGAGCATAGGACTCAGTGGTTTACTTCAGTTTGAAACAAAACTCTTCAGTTGGACAAACAACAAAATTAAATTAATTTAAAGGCTGGAATGAATTTATTTATCTCCAAAATGCTCCGTTTATAATTATTACTATTATTGGGTTTCCACTTGGAATGACACCTCCTTCTTTCATCCTTCAGTATGTGTATTAATCTGGGGTTGATCAATAAATCAGTTCACCTGGATAATTTCATTACTGTCAGTTTTAGCATCCCAGCCTGGTCCTATTGTGATGTGAGGCGCTGTCACGTCACCTTCCTGGAGACAACACTCAATGCTTGTGATTTGAGGGCACAGAAATGACAATATTTATATTTGTGGGAGAATAAAAGTTACTGGCAGCTTCAATTAAAAAAAACAAAAACAAAACATAGCAGCATCAGGCTCTGAAACAACATATTCATCCAACATAGAAGAAAACTACTGGGTCAAAAATACCTTAAATACATTTCTCTCTGCTCTTCTTTGTCTCGCCTTTTCACTCACACATCTACCTTCTTTCAAATGGACAACAACCATCCCCACTTTGTACTGGGTCATACTAACAATCACGTTTTTTAAATGCTGGCAGCTCATTCACACACACACACACACACACACACACACACACACACACATATACATATATATACGTACTGTATATATATATATGTATATATACACACACATCGGTAAATCGAATTTGGCATGACTGTGGAATATTTGTATTAAGTTCAACACATCTTTCCTTCTCTCTTCCCTCCTCCTCCGTCTCTATCGTTCCCTCCCTCCCTCTCCATATTAACAAAAGGCCTCATTCAGTGCAGTCAACTCTGGCATTTGCTTCAATGACAACAGATTATATCACCTACTGCTTTCCTTTTCCACTTCTACTCTTCCTAACCCAGCCTCCTCACCTTCCTTCCTTCCTTCCTTCCCTTCCTTCCTTCCCTCCCTCTCTCTGTCTACGTGATGTTGGATATGGGGTCGCTGATTTTCAGACACCTCCAGTAGATGGTTCTTGCCATGGTGAAGAGAGCGAGCAGGATCAGCAGCGCCCACGACACGTAGATCCCTTTAGACTCCTGGGCGGGTCTCCACGTGCCGACCTGAACACAGGGAAACACACACGCATGATGTTTACAAAGCTGCTGCATCGAACCTGAAGAGAGAAATCTCAGATGACAGGAATGACGAAGAAAATATACGAATATCTGTTACACAAAGTTATTTATATTGTAATTATTTCGACATTGCTCCACTGTGGAGCTTTTACTCCTCAGCCACCATCTACACTTCCAGTGGGAAAAGCAAAAGCTCCAGCCAGTTAAAAACAGTATAATGGGATTTAAGATTAAAGACCATTTAGTTTTCCAGATTTAAGTTTTCATTCTATTAATTATGATTTAGTGCAACACATCAATGTCCAACGTCACTGCCAATAATCATAAGTGAATGAATAATTATGAAACTATCAATGCTCAAATGTCTTCACACACACACACACACACACACAGATACACACCAACAGTCCTGCAGTGGAGACGGCGAGGACTATGAACAAGAGGAAACACAGCAGGCTCCTCCTCCTGGGGTACCGCCGACCAATAGAGGAACTGGAAACCAAAAATCAAGAAAAATAACTATTAAATAGTCAAAATGAAACTGAAAGAGCTTTATTTCTTTTCACCTCTCACACAGACGCAGAGAATCACTGAGATGCTTACACTTTTCGGCAGTGTGGACATCGGGCCAAAGTCCGGTCAGAAAACTCTGTCCACTGAGAAAGAGAGGAAATGAAATGTCAGAGTGTGTGTGTGTGTGTGTGTGTGTGTGTGTGTGTGTGTGTGTGTGTGTCCTACCAGGAATGTATTGGAGCAGTGTCCGCAGATGACCCTGATGCCGACGGGCTGATGCTGCGGTTCAGGACTGTCCCTCCCGATGTGAACTGGTCCCAGGTTGATGATGCGTTTACTGACAGAAAGAGAAAAAAAGCACAGATTTTAAAGAACTGAAAACTGGTCGAGCTTAACCTCAAATGTCATGGAAATTCAGATCATAAACGACGACCCTGAACACACAAAACACAAGTGTGAGAAAGTGTGCACTGCTTTTGTTTGGCCATTTTTGTTGAAAAGGGTTTTGATGAAAATCAGTTTCCATTTCTTCAGCTGACAGATGGAACGACTTTTTGTCTTTAAGGATTTGTACCAAAAATCAGGTGTATCGGCACAAGTGTCAAAAAAATGTCAAATGATACCCAATCCTACTTCTGGATATATCGTTTTTTTCAACATTTTTGTCACCGTCTTTGAGAAATGTGTGTTCTTGGTCAGATACTGAAGACTTTCAAAGCCAAGACAAACTATGAAAATGACGCCTGAAAACATCTGCGATGATTTATACAAAAAGGAAAGTGTGAAGTTCAAATAATACAATAAAATATATATATACTGTATATATAAAATAATTCCTCAGGGCAGCTGTACAAGCAGACTGATTTTAAACCAACAGCAGCTCCTGAACACTGTCTCATCCGTGACTGTATTTTGCTGAGCGGCTGGTGGATGAATGGCTTCTTCTGCACAGATGGCGCGGTTACAAGCCAAAGCTGATATGGGTGAAAAATAATCCCTCACTGTTTCTCCGTCTCACCAGTATGGTCGTGGACAGGCGATCCTCTGCGACGTGACTTTGCAGATCAGCAGACAGTTACATGGACAGCGGACGTACTTCTTTCCGACAGGAGCGTTCTTTATCGGCTGTGGACAGAGGGATGAACACACACAGAAAAAAAAAAAAAAGAATAAGAAAACAAAAACACAACACTTCTTCTGTTTCCGTGTCCAGACTTCCCCCATCCTTCGGTTCCTAAATACTTCTCAGTTGTTTCTCTCAGTTTTGACCTGATCAGCAGAAACTCGGCACATCTTCTCAGATGAGGCGATGGACAGAAATCCCGAGAGAGGAAACGTGAGACACTGCTACGTCTGGTCGGTGAACCGGGACACTCAGGACATCAGTCTGATATTTCTATGCTTTCTGAATGCTTCTGTGAAAACATTTCTAAGATGGTAAAACGCTGACTAATCTCCCGTCTTCATGGTTCGTGAAATATGCAGAGACACTGAAAAAGACTCATCTCGTATGTGTCTGCCTCTGTTGGACTCACCGTAGCTTCGTTGCAGATGCTGCACTTCACCACATGCTGGTGCGTCTTGCCCTCCACTGATATGGCGCTCTGACAGACCCGACAGCTGATGACCGGAGCGCTGCTGCTGTCCGGGCTGCCCTGTGGTGAGTACGGGGGCGGAGGATCGCTGGGTGCCACCAAGCTGGGGAACGGCGCTAAACCTGGAGAGGGGAACGACCAGGAGCAAACAGTTTAGATACTGGGAAAAAAATAGGTTGATTTTAACAAAGAAATGTCAATATGAAGAAAAACAACAGTCCAAGACTGACTGACATTTAGTTCATGATAATAAAAGGCTTTTAAAAGGCTGAAAACAGCAACATTTTAACTGAAAAATAAGTTAAAAGATTCAGTGTGAACACAAGCAGCTGAACAAGAACTTTGCCTGAATGAGAAATAGGAAACGTTGATTAAAAGTAGGAGCTGTCTAAACAGGAAATTGAGAAAACAAATCCAAGGTTTTCTGGAGTTGAGCCTAGACTGAAAGAAAGACAGTTTGATACTCGATGTTACGGACACATCTTAGTCAGTATCAACAAGCCCTATCTGCAATGTGTATGTGCTCACATTATAACTACTTTTATCTACTCATATGCCTATCAAGACACACAGTGGGAACACAAACAAAGTCTGTTTTATGGCAGGACCAACGCTGATATAGTGATTGAAACAGGATGTTCTTCTTTGTCCTAAAAACAAAAAGGACACCCACCCTCCATGCTGTAACCCTACCAGAGGGCCCATTACAGTTTATATCCTGCACCATATTATATTATCTCTTAGACAACCAATGAAACATTAACTTATCAACCTATGGTGCCCATTGTACTTACAGTGAGTCATTAATTGATTATTTTGCACGGCATTATCAGTGAGTGACACACCCAAAGGCCAAACTTTATCAAGTGTAATACAAGAGGGGGTAGAGGAAGGAGAGAAACTGAGTGTAAAAATAATGATATAAGTTCTTAGTTGGGAGGAAATGGCAAAGGAAGACAGGAAACGGGGGGAAAGATAACGCAGATTAAAAAGAAATGAAATAAGGAGTCAAACATACAGTCCGAATAAAGGGCTTAAAACATGGTTAATTATATCAATCAATCTGTCAATAATTAATTATAATTTTATTTTTTTTCATTAACTTAATAATCTTTTAGTCAGGAAATGCTAGGAAATTGTGAAAAATATTCTCAGACCCAAACATGATGTCCTCGAGTATCTTGTTCAACAGGCAAAATGCCAAAAAGATTTAATTTATAATGATAGAAAACTGCCTGAAAAATACCTTATCAGTCTTTTCTGTGAGAGCAGGAACCCTATGGTAAACTCAGCCTATTTAACAAACAGAGACGCTAGGTGATGATGCACGATCAAACCACCAACCAAACTGATCACAAATCAGTTCAACTACCTGAAAAGCAATAATTTCCTACAGCCCCTACTATACACCAAACATCAATTTAACATTACCTTCTGTGATGTGTACATTTGAGATTGCTGTTATTACATAGTGACACGCTAAGAAGCTGATTAACTCTATTAACAGATCATGAAATATGTGTAAAGTGAATTCTCATGGGTTAAATCTGAAGGTGTCCATTTAATTTATTATTTACAGCTACCGTTAGCCAAACTGCTAGCTCGCTAGCTTGCAAATTGACACTACCATCAGCTTACATTTGTTTACAAGTTGACATTCTCAAATCTAAATGCAGATTAAAATGGTCAATAATGCTGTTCAGAAACCTATAAACATGTGTGTATCGCGCTGGCTAGGGTGACAAACCAAACAGCGGACATACTCTGTGGTTTAGACGGATTACCATGCGAGCTGCCCCCGGGAGAGAAGCCGTTGGTCCCGTCGTGCTGCTCGGACAGCAGCGGCGACCGTTCCCCGTCCGCCATCGCTCCCACCGGCCCACAGCCTTTCGCAACGCCCTCAGGAAGAGTCTTTGCAGCGGTGGGTAGTCCTCAGACCACCGTTAGGGATTTCTGGAAGAGTCGCTGAGGAGCTTTCAACCCCAAAGCCCGTCAGTTTGACGTCCACATGACACGGCGAGAAACACCGAAGGCGGAAACGAAACAACAAAAACATCTGTCACATGACTGTGGTCCGAGTCGCGGATGTGATTGACAGCAAGCTCGACCAATGAACGAGCTCGACGAGGATGGGCGGGTCCATTGGCGTCCTTTGACCGGTAGCAACCGTTTGACAGTCCGGGCTGCGTTCAATTACTCAAACAAAGCGTTTCTCACCGGATAGGTTAGTGACTTTTGGGATGCTTTACAGTTTCCTTTATTTTCTTAATTCAAACACCACAAACAAATACTTTACATCACTGCTTTCAGCAGAGTCTCCTCTCTCAGAAAATAGAGGATGTTAATGTTCTTTAACTGACATGTTAATCCGTTTTAACCAGCTGTAACTAAACTAAGCAACATTGAATTCATCACCACAACTCACACATACAAACTGAATGAATAAATACATGAATCCAAACAAAAAATACCATGAACAAGCGGTATCATGGACCCTTGTATAAAGTCAGCTGGAAGTTTCAAGATAACCATCTTCACAATTCGAGGTAAACTCACTGTTAAATTAGTCTGATAGGATAATTGCATACATCCAACATCCTTTTGGCAAATATCATATATGTGAGGGGTAACTTGTAATGTTATTGTAGTTGAAGTTAGCATGTGTGCTAACGTTAAACTGTAAAACCTCAGTGTAAAGCGACCTCCCGGCCTGCCTCGTCAGCTGATCAATCATTGCAGACCAGGCATGCCAATCAAACAAGCACGGCCCCCGAAAAATACCTATTTTTAAAGCCTAATATCTAATTAATAAGATGATTATTTTCAGATGGACCACCAGAAGGTGGTGAATTTAGCCCATCACACCATAATAAGTTCTGGAAAAAAAATTTCGACTGAGTATTTCATGAGAGAAGTTGTCGGTTTTTGAATGAGTGCGTACTGGAACCAGAGTTTTTTGGAGCCATCCCCCAGTGGCCCTCGGTGGTATTGCACATTAAGACACTTCCACACTGGCTTCACTTTTCAGCTCCGGAGACTACGTCCATTTTTATACACAGTCTATGATTGGGAGGATAGTGATGCATATTGCTTTACTTCCCTTCCTCACTACTGGCATATCATGTTAATGTCTCCTGCCCTCTTGTGGCCTGAAAGGTGTACAACACCCAATAACTGGAATCTCTCAGCAAAGGACTTTCAAATACATGTCTGGGGGAGAAAATATGAATGCTTTTAGTGCTGTCTGGACGGTGGTGATTGTGCACTTCAGCCTCTTGTGGCCAAAATGAGTATTACAAAACCAAACACTAAGAAAAAATCCTGAAAAAATGAACCTGGACAAAAAAAATCACCTGTTTTCACAGATGAAACAAACTTGGGAAAATGATCCTGGCAAAAAAAAACAAAACAAAAACAAAACAAGAATCACTCGCCATCAGAGCTTCCATGCTTTGAAGAACTGGTCCATCCAGTCCTCAGTTTTTTGAGCAAAACCCGAGGGATGAGGGAGGAGTGCTGCTAACTGACGTACAGCAAACCTTGGGCAGTGTCGCACTCCAGTGTAGTAACAATAATTGGATACTGGGAAAAATGGGTGTCATTAGTAATCAATTGGGGGCCCCCTTGCGAGTTACGTACAATGTCTATAAAATTAAAAATAAATTTCGTTTCCCAACATCTTCCAACCCAGAATAAACTCTCCAACTCCCCACTCCTTGATGACACATAGGGTGGAAAATGTCAGTTACTAACATGAATAGAAATATATGGCAACAAACTTAATGAGCAGTTAAATTAATCTGGATGTTTTGTATTAGAGAACAGGTGTGACCAGTGGGCAAGTTACTACCTGCTAGTGAAAGGCAGACATCATCGTGGATACAGACAGCTGTGCACGCTACACTTCATCTTCATCATATCAGGTCCCATCATTATTTCAAAAGACACTTCCTCATACCAGATCATTTCCTGGATGAAGTACAAAGAAGGAGACGGGTATTTATCTGCTGTCTGTGACTAGAGAGATTATTACATTCACTATGTCAATCTGTCTGCTGCTGCTGCTGCTGCTCGTCTGCAGCTCCCAGGCGTCTCATTTCTTGGGGACAGTGATGACCTATTACCCAAAAACCCCAAACGCAGATGGATCTGTCAGGGTACGTACAGTTTCTTTCTAAACTGAAATACTTACAGTAGTTTAGGAAATTTAGATACATAACTAGTGACAGAATAATAGAAGTCTAACCCGTAAAGGAAAGGTTACCATAATAAAATACCGACTTGCCCATATGGACATTAGAAGAAATATTCATCATGGTAAATACGTGGAGGTCCACAGTCCTTGTTCTAAGTTTTTAAAAAGTTAAAAGTTATATTAGAGAAAACAAGTGGGTATCTTCCAAAGTTACAACCTTTTTACTGTGAAATTCACACTTACCTGGACAGTGTTTCCCTGCTGATTTATACTGGGAACATATTTTCATTTATAGTCCGTTTAAAGAAATTATAATAATCTAGATTTTAAAAGATAATGAACTGATCACAGTAATGGGATGATAGTATCAAGTGGAGTCAATTTAAGTCTTTGGTTGATAAAATAAGAACAATTCAACAATTCTTTATGTTAAACATATGTAAAATATTTCACATATTTTTACATTGCTTACTTTTTTAAATGTGTTTTTATTGTTTTAATTTTTATCTTGAGTAATTTGCTTGCATGTTTGTTATTTTATCATTGTGAAGCACTTTGTATTCTCTGATTTTGATAAGTGCTCCATAAATAAACTTTATTATTATTATTATATTACTATGGATTTAAAATTTAATGTATGTGTCTTCTCATGGGAAGGTGGAAAATGTCATGAAATGTATTACAAGGCAAATGTATCAGCATAGTTGTTTCTCATGACATAATAACAGGAGTATTTACAGTGATCTGATCCTGCAGGTGGCCGTTCGCTATAAGCTGAGCTTCGGCTCTTGCGCAGCCACGGCCTCGTGGAGCTGTCACAGTGGGTACTGCGGGAACCAGAGCTTCCTGCTCGAGGAGGTTTTCAGCGACAGTGGAGAGTGGTGTCAGAGGGAGGGACGCGTGACTCAGCTGGTTCCCAGCAACGCTCCGTTTCAGCTGCTGTGAGTGCACAAAAAAATAAAATAAATAAATCACACCGAGGGCCATAAATGTCATTTTCAAATAATGGAACTGACGAATGAGAAAATCAAAACCTTCTTCAAAATGTCAGCAGTTCAACTTTTAAATGTTTAAACTGTTGGTTTCATGCACAAAACAAAGAATTAATGACACCCTTTATGTTTGGAGTTAATATCTTATATCTGCCCTTACACAGATGTGATATATGCACAAACATTGAATTTAAATACATACATATATATATATATATATATATATATATATATAAAATAAAAACATATAATCAAAATGTAATTATATAAAACCTATAAAATATGGGAAAATTTAATATATTGACATATATATCTGTCCCATACAAATATGTATTTTTGTATGTATGTACGTATGCTTATATTATAGATGTTACATAAATATATATCCACTTTCCCAGAGTTTAATAAACTCTGTATAAATTAAATAGATATCGTTAACATATATGGTTGCAACATATAAAAATGCATCATATAGATATTTTTAATATGTATATACAAATTTGACAATAGGTATTTCATCTATGTCATAAACTTATGTCTTCATATACCCAGAGGATGTATATATGTGATAATAATAACTATTATAGTGACATACATGTGGCTGCACTCAGGTTTTGTGCAGCACACTAAAAAACGACTTTCACTTGAACTTCCACTGAAGGTTGGGCGGCGGCGACTGGATAAGTGACACCAAAAATGGCATCACATCGTTGAGAGCCATGACTCTGGTTGACCTGAAGAGCCGGTCCGACACTGGCAAAGCCAACACATCACCACAGACCACCATCCTGCCGGCTGTGAGGTACGCCTGCTCGCTGTTTTTTACCTTATATTTCTATATCAATAAATATTTACAGTAGCAATAATAAGCATAGTGCATTATGGTGGGTAATTATTTTATATGTTCTGTACGGATATGTACCATTACACTATCTTTCCCTCTCCCTGTCAGAGTTCCTTCAAACTGTCAGAGAGATTTCAACCTGTTGGCGTTTGACCCTGACGGGGACGAGGTTAAATGCAGATATGGAGACATGTCGCTGTCTGAGTGTAACACCTGCACACCACCGTCTGTTCTCAGCCTCGCATCAGTGAGTAACTAAAGTCCACAGTAACTCTCACTGACGTTGTTCTCAGATCTTTTAAAAAACTCAACAGATACTGTTGCAGTTATCAGTTTATTAGGAACGCCATCTACACCATCTAAGGAAACACTCCTCCTTCAGGAATGTTATAATGTCAATGGAGTCTGTAGTTTGTGCTGCTTCTGACCTCTACTGTATTATACAGAGAGGTGTGTCTGTAGTGTGACAGAAATAGGTGAGGACAAAATAATATAAATCATGTCAGAATTGTTGTAGTAGACAGCTTAAGTTTTAGATGGATGTACCTACCAGGTACCTACCTACCTGACAGAGACTGAACTGGTGCAGATCAAAACCTGATCACGATGTGAATGGGAACACACTCCTGGATTAAAATAAAACATAAAACAGAAGCGTTTGATCAGTGGAAGAAAGCAAAGATACAAAAACGATTTTTTATCCTCAGAATAGCTTCATGACTTTCTATCACATGAACCTTTTACTTTCACACTGTGGTTTTGGGGTGGTCTCTTATTTGTCCTTTTTCTGATTCTTTATTTTTGTGCAGTCTTGTTCTCTGTCATTCAGCCCCACCAGTAGCAGTAATGAAGGTCCATATGCAGTCCAGCTGGTGATGGAGGACTTCCCCAGACAGACTATCACCTTGAATCAAACCAGCGGTTCGCAGGAAGTGAAAACTCCCAACGACGCTATCAGCAAAATACCTGTCCAGTTTGTTTTATGGGGTAAGAGTTCATGTTCTGATTTATAGCCAAAAAAAGTTAGAAATAATCTCATTGACCCTCTAAAGTGGTGGACCACCTGACCAAGAGTGCCATTCTTACAAACCTGTGCTTTTTTTTTTATTGCTCCAGTGGATCCTCCGGTACCATCCTGCACAGAGGGACTCTACCTGCCCAGGTTCCTGCCTCCGACCCCAGCCAACAGAGCTCGACTGTACACCCCTGTCAATCAGTCCCTGGAAATCAGCATCAACGCAGAGGCCAATATCTCCACGTGAGTAAAAACACAATATTTTCTGTTTACAACTTGGGTCCAGGAGGTTTGATTAAAACCAGGTTGATTATATGGCTGCGCACTTCTTTAAGCGCATTGTCATCGCATTCCCAGATCGCAGCAAATATTTCGTAAGAGTGGTGATATTATTACTGAAAGACATGATGGCCAAAACTACAAAGATAACACCCAGTGTCTTCTCTTTGTTGAAGGGTTTCTAAGCTGGTGTTCAGTGGGCCGCACAACGTGATGCAGACGGCATCAGGAGGGGGTCAGTTCACCCTGAGATGGACGCCATCTGAGGCTGAAAATGGAGAAAGCCACTCAATCTGTTTTCTCGTCCAGGCAGATGACAAGTTAGTGTCTTTTACCCTGAACGTTAACAATGTAGTAACACTCTGAAAGTACTGGATGAAAATAATTATGAATACTCTCTGAGGAACGTAACTTATATTAAAGGTTATATATAAAAGATTTTAAACAACAATATAGCAACATATTTATGTGCCTGTCATTCATGTGGGACCAAGTCCAAGGTTGAATTTCTTTCCCAATCCAACCATGGACCAGATTTGTCTGGCATTTTCGAGATGGAGAATCCTACAAGCAGCTGCAGGGCAGAACTGGCTTTTCATCTCCACGATAATCTAATGTCTGTTTTCATTAGTGACCAGTTACAGGCCTGATAACGTTAGCTAACTTGCTGTCAGCTGTACCTCTCATCACTTCGTGGCCAACAAAGTTTTTTGTTTGGTCTGTGATGCTGGTGGTCTAGTGCGACATCTAGTGGCAGTGAATATGGTATATATAACCTTTGAATTTGTTTTTTAAATTATTAAAAGCAGAATGGGTAAGTGTTACCAGTTGGGCAGCAGCATTATTTGTTTTATTTACCTTTTTCATTTTAAAAAGTGTATTGTGATCTGTAACTAACCTGTTGTGTTATTTCTGCAGTTTAGTCCCACGCAAGTATCACTCAGAGCTTCGATGTGTTGTTGTGACTGTTGGACCTGGTGAGTAGAGACCTTTCCTTGTTTTTCTAATGTTTTAAACTCCACTTTTGATTCCCAGGATCAATAAAGTTCATGTGCGATCAATCTCTTTTTTTCACCCCTCTATGCAGACCCAACAACAACCACCACTACTCCAACAACAATAACCACACAAGCACTACAAAAACTGCAACAACCACGCAAACGACACCCACGATCCTCAACAAACACCACAACACCAGCTCCAACAACCAACTCCACAACAAACACTCCAGCTACAACCACTCCTCCACCCTCACCAGCTACCCCACTAAACACAACAACAACCAGTACTCCAGCTACAACTACTCCAGCTGCAACAACCAACTCCACAACAACCAACTCCACAACAACCACTCCTCCACCCTCACCAGCTACCCCACTAACCACAACAACAACCAGTACTCCAACTACAACTACTCCAGCTACAACAACCAACTCCACAACAACCAACTCCACAACAACCCCTCCTCCACCCTCACCAGCTACCCCACTAACCACAACAACAACCAGTACTCCAACTACATCTACTCCAGCTACAACTACTCCAGCTACAACAACCAACTCCACAACAAGCACTCCAGCTACAACCACTCCTCCACCCTCACCAGCTACCCCACTAACCACAACAACAACCAGTACTCCAACTACATCTACTCCAGCTACAACTACTCCAGCTACAACAACCAACTCCACAACAACCAACTCCACAACAACCACTCCTCCACCCTCACCAACTACCCCACTAACCACAACAACAACAACAACAAGTACTCCAACTACAACTACTCCAGCTACACGCAACAACCAGCACTACACCAAACACAACCACAGAAACTACAACCACAACTCCTCCCACAACTCAACCCACAACAACTACCCCAATCAACACGTTTAATCACTGTGAGTATGACAACCTGTTTTATACTATTTTGTACTGTATTATTCAGCTTCAGCGACCTTCTGGCCTGCATTGTAACGCTGAGTCTCTGTGTTTTCAGTCATCATAGGTCTGAGAGTGAGGATTTCTTCCTTGGTTCCACTGCATGGGGGCATCGGGGGTGTCGGGGACATCGGGTACATCATACAACAGGTCAGTCTCTTCTCATCTACTCTGAAATCCTGTACTGCACAGTAATAGTTATGTAACGATGAAAGAAGGACCTTGAGCAAGTATAAGCTTGGAATTTGGAGGGCTTAAAAACTGCAAACCCAAACACTACTGACCTGTACTGTAATGCTGAGTCACTTTGCTTCTAGTTGTCAAAGGGTTGAGAGTGAAGTTTTCCTACTTTTACCACTCACTCACTATGTTTATTATTACATTCTTCATGTTTTAATGAGTATGGAAGGCCTCTTGCAGATGGACGACTATCCAATTTTCAATAAAAACAGATGTTATCAGGTCCCAGCTACTCAGCAGTAGAAGAAAGTGAGGGAAATAGAATTAATTTATACATACATTTTATATATCTACACAGTGTATCCACCCATCCACCCCAACCTCCTCCTGACGAGGACTTTCTCGCTTTCTTTATACTACATCACCACACTTTTCCCTTTGCTCCTGTCAAAATTACTACGACCACTAGATGTCCCCTAGCAACAAAACATAACTATGCGTCATGATAACCTGCTGCACAGACGACCTGTGGGCACATTTTTTACACGAGGACAAGTGTGGGTGTCACGCTTGAAGTACCTGCAACTTATTCATTGTTAAAAGATCGTTACTCGTTGAACCACAGACACATTAATCATGTTTGAGCTGCCAGGAGCAGATAACGCGCAGGAAGGAAACATTCTGCTGCCACCTTCAATATGCACACGAGATATTTAAATTAACGTTTCCTTATTGTGTTGCGATAATGTAATGTTGTAATTTCTAGCTTGAAAGGAGTCATTGCGATAAAAACGACACAATACACAACTTAAGTCAAAGAAACTGCAGAAGTTAAAGATATAAGAGGCTTAAACGAGGACGTGTGAGAATGAATCACAGTCCTTTAAACACAGTTTTGGAAAACGGCCAGTAAAGCATTGATCACATTCCACTACTGAAGGACGGGTTCCATCATAACACTAAGAATCATTCAATCACGCTGTTCATCGGTGAACCAAGATGACCTTTGGTGAACACCTCGGTTCAGTTGGTGAATTGCTGCTCTTGCGACATCTACCACAATGACTCTGACTCTTTCTGCCAGAGACATTAGTAATAGTAGTAGCCTACCGTTTTTTCAACATCAGTTTCATCAGTTCACAAAACATTTTTTGGAGGGCATCATCTTCCTTTGTGATGTCCTGCCATGGACACCAGGCTCCAAGCAACCACACACCATGATTTCTGTATGGTTGACACTTTGATAGAAAAGTGAACCAGTGATTCTTTTAGGCCTTAAGCTTCTTTTTTACCTGACTACTGCCAGTACTGCTATAAGTTTAATGTGATTACACATGTTCGAATCATAAAGCTAATATTGTGAGGGTCATTAGTAATACGTACATTTGTTTCCCTCTCCAGCTTTATCATGAACTGAGGAGAAACGGGCTGCCAGAGGACGTCAGTCTGCGTATCCTGCAGGTGTTCTACCAGATAAACGGGGAGTCTATTCCAATAAGACTGTTTGGAGAAAGGGAAAGCTTCCTTTACCCTGAGATTAGGGAAACTCTTTCCCGAACCCGGACACAGAGGTCACCTTAAGTCTGATTCAGTTGCCGTGGTTACATACTCTGTGGAGCCAACTCGCTCGCTGGCAGGTTTCCTTAAACCCCGAGTTTCTGTCTGTCTGCCCCTCCTGCTGCGATTTAAGAAGCTTCTGACATGGTGCGTCATTTCCTCATTCATACCATCTGTATTAAAGTGCAGATCGGAGCGGATTAATTTAATAGATTTACATTGGGAGACGTTAGCTTGTTACCCAAAGACCTGTCTTTACGAACATTAACCTCTTTTACGATCTTTGACATTCAAATATTACACATGGAAGCTTCATCCTCAGCTCAGATTAAAATCTCTGTTGGCATTAAGACACCTGTCAGATTGTCAATCAGTTCCCTCTGCACTGAAACATTTATCTTACATTCATCACTGTAAATAAAAAAAAACAATCTGCGTGAAGCTTTAGACACAGGACAAGACTGATCTATGAGTAATCACGTTCTGATTGGTTGCGCTGATAAACAGTCCTATCATAGCTGTCATATCAGATTGTAGATGATGTGATATGTCTGAGTGAGGATGACACTGCAGCTGTAAAAATAAATATATAACTGATCTCCCTTTTCCAGATGATTAAGAAAATGATTTTTTTGTATTGGCCATGCAATTGTGATTTTTTTTATTATTTTTTGGATAAAAAAGTTTTTTGTTTGTCTCAATTTAAACGTTTCAATAAATTGTTAACGTGATAATTGTCTCAGTTGTTTGAGATTTCTTTCTCCTGTACAGATTTTTTACAGCCTTTAAAATAAAGATGACGTTTCACATTGTGAATTTGATGAGTGAAGGTCCATGACCAAACTGTTGCATCTCTAATAAACTGTGCCAAAAGTGTTTGGGAATAAAATCTTAACAAGTATAAAAGTTGAATTTCTTTCTTAACCTCAGGAAAAATGAGAAAAAAAAAGAAAAAGTGAAAACCAAATCCCAAATACAATTCGCATGTGTATCTATTTTCTTTGCCACTCATTTATAATAAATCCTCAAAACGAAAATGTTGTAGAAATCTACTTCACATCTATATTTAAACAATTAACTGCACTAGTTGATAATTATCTCTGATTAAATGTGATGTAGCATTTCCTCATACTAGGTGTCAGTCTTGTATGGGAAACAGAGAGAGAGAGAGAGAGAGAGAGAGGAAAGTTGTGTGTCATTGTCTCTGTTTATTTACGGTTTGTTTGTTGAGAGATCATGCTGCTCTTTCTGTTGCTGTTGCTGGTCTGCAGCTCCCAGGCAACTCATTTCTTTGGGACAGTGATGACCTACGACCCAAAAGAGGCAAGCAGGGATGGACGTCTCACGGTACGTACATCTGTGGACACAGACTGTTTCCATGGCAACATATTTAGCTTTTTAATATGCAAAAAATAATAATTTAAAAAGCTATTCAATTCTGACAGCACACATGCTTCTCAATTTGTTTAAAGGCTATTTGAAAGGCTTGCTTGCATCACTGCCAGCGTTTTGTGTGTGTGTGACGGTCGCGGCAAACTAACAAAGAAGACGTGTGTTGATAGTGATATTGATCATTATACCAGCAACATTACATACAACTGTCTACTCTACAATGTCTAGTCTGAATCTGAATATGACACAGACATTTTAATGTGGAGACAGTGGAGGTTACGTGTGCTGTATCTTCATAGCAGAAAGCCATTGTTATAATATTAAATTATAATAATTTAACAGGTGACGGGTTCTCTGCGTCTCTCTCTCCCTCTCTCTCTTGTTCTGAAGGAAAGAAATCAAACATTTAATAATTGATGAAAAGTATTCAAGGCAAATTATGTAGAAAGGCAGCGTTGGCAGCAACGGGTAGCCGTCATGCACACACACAAAGCAGGCAGTGTACACTCACCTGATACTTTAAAGCTCCTCCAGTGTAAAGGTCTGTGTCCATGTGTAGTGTGATTATAGATCAGGTCTAGCTTCTATATTAATACTGTGAAAGTATCAAAGCCTCAGTCCACAGAGAAATGCACACAGCCTGTATTCAGAAACTGAGCCTTAAAACCAGCCGTCAGGACTTCTGGAACTTTGTGATGTCACAACAAAGCAGTCACCAAGCCCCGCCCACCTGAACCTACCATCCAAACCTTTACAGGATTTGGTTTCTCTCAAAGTTTACCATGAATATCAGCTAGATTTTTATTGGATTGCTCAGAAAACAGTCAGCCAATCAGAAGCTCAGAGCCTCCTCTCTTCTGATTTTATCTCTGTAATATTGCAGGTGGTCATTCGCTATAAGCTGAACTTTCACTCCTGCAGTGATTCTGACACATGGTCATGCATCACTGGGGATTGTGGGACTCAGAGCGCTCTAGAGTTGAAGAGGGTCTACGAGGACCGCAGTGGAGAGTGGTGTCAGAGGGAGGGGATCATGACTCGACAGGTTTCCAGCAGCGCTCCTTTTCAGCTTCTGTGAGTGAACCATGTCAAAAATGAAATGATGACCAGCTTTGTAACTCAGCAAGTGATTTATTACCACACTTAACATTGAAGTTTAATATTCTGCAAATGCCAAAATAAGTTCCTGTGAACTTCCGTCACAGGTTGAATGGTCGTAACTGGATAAATAACATTGTAAACGGCATCAGATTATGGAGAGCCGTGACTCTGGTCGAACTGAGGAACCGATCGGACACCGGCCGAGCCAACAGATCACCACAAACCACCATTCTGCCGGCTCTGAGGTAAACCTCCTCGCCGTCCCTGTCACCCGCAGGTCCGAAACATCTCCATTCCAAACATACCTCCATGTCAATTGTTTATTTCCTTCTCAGAGTTCCTTCAAACTGTCAGCGAGATTTCAATCTGTTGGCATTTGACCCTGACGAAGACGAGGTCAAATGCAGATATGGAGACAGATCGCTGTTCGAGTGTAACCCCTGCACACCACCGTCTGTTCTCAGCCTCTCATCAGTGAGTCGCTAAGTGGTTGCAGTATTTTTAAGTGATGTTGCAGCATCTCTTCCTTAAATGAATAACACTGACGTAATTTCTTTCTTTAAAATTAAAGAATTTTTTTTTTGTAATTATTTTGCAGTTGTGTTCTCTGTCATTCAGCCCCACCAGCAGCAGTGATGAAGGTGCGTACGCAGTCCAGCTGGTGATGGAGGACTTCCCCAGACAGACTATCACCTTGAATCAAACCAGCGGTTCACAGGAAGTGAAAACTCCCAACGACACAATCAGCAAAATACCTGTCCAGTTTGTTGTAAGGGGTAAGACCTAACGTTTTTAACAGACTCCACCTTCAGCCACAGTTTTTTTCTTTGGATGACT